ATATAGACAATGGGTCGTGCTCATATTATTTGTTATATTTTTATTATTCATTATTTTCACTTGACTCGCATAAATAATTTTGTTCGAAGAACATTTTATGCAGTTGTACTTCGCAGCACTTCACTTGCAATTTGCAATTTCTAGTTTAATGGATTTTAGAATCTACTACAGTAGGCCTAATACAGTATGTAGAATTTTTTTTTTCTCCCCGATGAATTGTTGTTTTCATCGCCGATGATGGGCCCTGGCCACTGGCTGCCCTCTGGTGCCACCCCTGACAATAAAATGGGACTTTAATGTAGGTATAAAATACAAAATTTGATTGTACTACACTTTAATAGGCTATGCATCATGTGAGGCAGGTACCTCTATAATAGCATTGTGTCAATTGAGAAAAAATATAGGGGGAAAGTAAAAAACTGTGAGGGCAACCAAATCTGAGACCAAAAATTTCATAATTCTGTGAGGCCTGTAAAACAAATATTGTTCAATATTTTATCAATAATTAATTGTGATATTAACATCAGTACGTAGGCTGGCCTTTCCCGCTTAATTGGATGAGAACAACAGGTCTGCTTGGGTTGATTTCAGGGCTGTAGGCTGAAACTAAAAACTGCCAACATTATAACCGGCGTTTTTATTTCTTATTTGCCGACATACTTTTTTCCTAATTTTGAGGGCTGCAATGAGTGCCTAATAATAATAATGAGGCCTAATGAATAGATTGTATTTACTTAAATAATTTGCTGAGTTTATTGGGTTGTTATATGTATTGCTAAGCCCTGCAAACGTCCACAAAAAACCCCGCAAACCCCATCCAAACCTTGTGATAGTGATTGAATCATGTAGTAGACTCACTTGGTATCTCAGTTAAAAAAAATCATAATGTTACGTTCATAACAACCTAATTTTGCGGTAAAAATGCCATTTTTTGTATACAAACATTGCTAAATCTCTCAAACTCCCAAAAACACAGTGGAAAAACCCATCCAAACCTTGTGATAGCGATTGAATCACAAAGTATAGGACTCAACTTGGTATCTTAATTTAAAAAAAATATAATTTTATGTTCGTAACAAATGCCTATAAATACACCACAAACCTCCAAAAACACAGTGCAAACCCCACCCCACCCAAACCCTGTAATATTGATTGAATCATGCAGTATAGGACTCAACTTGGTATCTTAGTAAATAAAAATGTAATTTTATGTTCATAACAACATATTGTTTGGGTAAAATCTTGATTTGTTAAAAATACCTTAAAATAAACCACAAACCTCAAAGTGCAAACCCCATCCAAAACCTTATAGTGACTGCATCAGATAGTATAGGACTTACTTGGTATCTCAGTAAAAAAAAAAATCATAATGTTGAGTCCTATATACTATGTGGTTCAATCACTATCACAGGGTTTGGATGGGGTTTACACTGTGTTTTTTTTGGGAGGGGGGGTTTGCAGGATTTAGCAATGTTTTTATACAAAAAAATGGCATTTATTACTTAAATAAATACAACCTAACCATACAACAGAAATTATGATGCTCTATGAGTGAATTTGGGTATTTAGTAATAAATACAGCCTAATATGTTAGGCCTAATGCAATAAAGAAATAAGTGAACTTATTTTTATTATTATATTAGGTTGTTGTATTATAACTGTTATTAAATGTACTATAATACTTCATTTATTTACATAAATTAATACAGGTATATTATAAGATTGTATTTACTGTGATAAATTTAGTAAAATAAATTGAAAGAAAAAATAATAAATAATTAGCTTAGTTAATACAATACAATGAAGAAATGACTGATCCCAGTTTAATACAATACAATGAAGAAATGACTGATCCCAGGTTAATACAATACAATGAAGAAATGACTGATCCCTGTTTTGGTGAGGTTGGCTGTTGAACGTTTGAAATCTACATTTGTTCTGTACGTCCAGTCGTTGGTTGAGCTAGACGTAGGCTAGTAGTAGTGGGCAGCGCCAATCCCCATTTTGTTTGCTCCCAGTTTAGTTTTAGTCTTTCTATAATATATTGGATTTGGTGGTGTTTGTAGTATTTAGGCCTAGGCCTAGGCCTAGAGATGACACAAATGGGTATGAATATAAAGTATGAGAAATAAGTTAGAAAGACATGCCCGAGGGCTGTTCTCAACTACCCCATGCATCATTTTTTCCAGCCTCATTCTCAACAACTCCTACCTACTGCCAGCTACTACTAACTGCCCCGACTGCTACCATTCCTCTGCAGCCTCTCCTCTACAGCCTCGGTCTCAACAACAACCCTTCCCCGACTACTAGGCCTACTACCATTCCTCTGCAGCCTCGTTCTCAACAACTCCTGCCCCGACACTGCTACCATTCCTACTACAGCCTCGTTCTCAACAACAACTCCTTAACTGCTTCCGCTACGAATCAATACGATTTGCCACCGGGCTTGACCTGGATTATACCATTCTAAAAATGGGTATCATCAAATGCGTGTTCTCTATTATCATCATCTACCTAGTCTCACCATGGAGGTACTATATTATATAGGTATTATATACCTGTGGTGTGACCATGGACGGAGAAAAAATTGCGTCTTGTGTATTGTCTACCTAGTGTGACCATGAACGAGGGAAGATGACCATGGTCGAAGGAAAAAAAAAGGGGGAAGATGACCATGGTCGAAGGAAAAAAAAGGGAAAAGGGTATTATGTGCACCTGGTGTGACCATAGACGGAGGAAGATGGCCATGGACGAAGAAAAAAGGCCATGGACGAAAAAAAAAATGGTTACCTGGTGTGACCATGGACGAAGGGGAAAAAAGGGGTATTATGTACCTGGTGTGACCATGGACGGAGGAAGATGACCATGGACGGAAGAAAAAAAAAGGTTACAAAAAGGGAGAAAAAAAAGGGGGAAAATGGAGGGAAAAAAAGGGGAAAAAAGGAGGGAAAAAAAAGGAGATGACCATGGACGGAGGAAAAAAAAAAGGAGAAAAAAAGGAGATGACCATGAACGGAGGAAAAAAAAGGGAGAAAAAAAAGGGGGAAAATGGAGGGAAAAAAAGGGGAAAAAAGGAGGGAAAAAAAAGGAGATGACCATGGACGGAGGAAAAAAAAAGGAGAAAAAAAGGAGATGACCATGGACGGAGGAAAAAAAAAAGGAGATGGGTGTGATGAAATGCGTGTTGTGTATTATGTACCTGGTGTGACCATGGAGGGGAAAAAAGGAATGCGTGTTGTGTATTATGTACCTGGTGTGACCATGGAGGGAAAAAAAAAGGAAAGGAGGAGA